TTGCCTCTTTGTACTGAATCACGTACGATAAGGTCTCAATGTATTCGACCCATCTGGCATGCCGTTTGTTTAGTTTCTGCTGACCTTTGAGATGATTCAGCGATTGGTGGTCTGTATGGATCACGAACTCATTAGGCCAGAGGTAATGTTGCCAAGTCTGCAAGGCCCGTACCAGTGCGTACAGCTCCTTGTCATAGGTCAGATAATTCAAGGTCGCACCACTGAGTTTTTCACTGAAGTAGGCTATGGGACATTTTTCCTGCATAAGAACTGCTCTGATCCCCACACCTGATGCATCACATTCAGTCCCAAACGTTTTAAGAAAGTTCGGTAGAGAAAGAATGGGTGCATGAGTTAGCCTGTGTTTGAGATTCTGGAAGGCATCTTCCTGAGCTTGTTCCCATTTGAAACCAACATCCTTTTTGATGATCTCGGTTAAAGGTGCAGCAATGGTGCTGAAGTCGCGAACAAATCGCCGATAAAATCCTGCGAGACCGTGAAAGCTACGGATCTCTCCGACCGTCTTCGGGCTTGGCTAATCCTGGATGGCTTTTATCTTCTCCTCGTCCAGCTGTATACCCTGTGAACTCACAACAAAACCTATGAACACCATGTTATCTGTACAAAATTGACACTTTTTTAAAATTGCCAAACAAATGTTCCTTCTTAAGTATCTCTAGGACCATTTTCAAGTGTTCCACATGCTCATCTAGGTTCTTGCTATAAATAAGGATGTCATCGAAGTAAACAACTACAAAGATTCCTATATAAGCCCTAAGCACGTGATTCATCAAATGATTAAAGGTACTAGGTGCTTTAGTAAGACCGAATGGCATGACCAACTATTCGTAAAAAACCATATTTGGTTTTGAAGGCGGTCTTCCACTCATCACCTTCTTTCATTCTTATTTGATGGTACCCGCTTTTTAAATCCATTTTGGAAAAGACACTAGATCCATGGAGCTCATCTAGCATATCATCTAGGCGGGGAATGGGATGTCGATACTTTACCATGATGTTGTTGATCGTACGGCAGTCCACGCACATTCTCCATGATCCGTCCTTCTTGGGTACTAACAGCACGGACACAGCACACAGACTCATACTTTCCCTGATGTATCTCTTTTCTAATAACTCATCTACTTGGCGTTGAAGCTCTTTGGTTTCCATCGGATTGGTTTGGTAAACCGGTCGGTTTGGAAGAGACGCTCCAGGTATAAAATCAATCTGATGCTTGATCCCTCGGATCGGTGGTAAACCTCCTGGATTATCTTCCGGAAAAAATCCTTGTATTCCTGCGAAACTATAGAAATATCGCTCGGAAGTTCCGGCTCGGGGTTAGTAGAGCTAGCCAAGGCACTTCTGAACATCAGTAAAATAAAAGGTTGTCGGGTAAGCTTTGCATGTTTAATCTCATTTGGCCTCACAAAAAGAGAATCTCTCCTCACGAATGTGCTCACCAAAGTCATTTATGGGGCTTTCCTCAAACTTTCACTCTCGTTTTTAGTAGTTGAAATGTTTAAGGGGTCACTCAAGATATTTTTACCTTTGTTACTTTTCTCAAGTTGGAGTTGGCCTAGGTAGACCTCGTGTGGTGACAAGGGCGCCAAGGTCACCTTCCGGCCATTGTGCTCAAACGTCTGTTTGTTGGTAAAACCATCATGGATCACCTTTCGGTCGTATTGCCATGGCCTGTCCAACAAGACATGTTAGGCTTCCATCGGCAAAACATCGCACAGCACCTCGTCCTTGTATCGGCCTATCGCGAATGGTACCGACACCTGTTTGGTCACCTTTAGCTGTCTTTAGTTGTTAAGCCACCTTAGGCTATACGGCTGGAGGTGCTTCTTAGTCTCCAAACCAAGTTTCTCCACCATGGTTTGACTCACCACGTTTGTACAGCTTCCTCCATCGATTACAAGGCTGCAGACTTTACCAAGGACTTTACATCGCGTGTGGAAGATATTTTCTCTCTGATCCTCCTCTCGAACCATTTCCTGAGATACGAGCATTCTCCAGGCTACCAGAAGTTCTCCTTCAGCAGCTCGCTCTCCTCGGCTTCTCCATCGAACACGGGATCCGTATCCTCCTCGTCATTGGTAACAAACTCGCCGTAGTTTAAAAGTAGCATAGCCCTTTGATTCCGGCACTTGTTAGCGTAACACCGCTTGCCTCTACACTTGAAGCACTCGATATCCCTGTTTCGGATCGGTGTAGCCTCGGTCTTGCCCTTTGGATCGGTTGCTGACGAGCTCGGTTTGTAGTCGGGTTTAGATTTTTGGTCGGTATGGACAGGGTAGTTGGATTGGTCGTTAGGTCGGAAGTTGGCACCAAATCGTGCTGAACTCATCCGTTTCAACTGTTGCTCCACCAAGATGGCCTTCCGTTTCAATCTTGCACATTGCGTTTCAACCCACTCAAGAACCAGGCCATCGTCGCGTCCTCGGGTTCATCGACATCGGCTTTAAGCATTAGCTGTTCCATCTCTTGGTAGTAATCTTTGATGTTTTTGGTTCTTTGAACCAGTCTCTTGAGCTTGGTATGCAACTCGCGTTGGTAATGGCTCGGAACGAATCGTCTTCGCATGAGCATGCCCATCTCGTCCCAAGTTTCAACCAGTCGGTCTCCGTTACGTCTCCGGTTGGTGACGATTTGATCCCACCAGTTCACTTCATAGCCATGGAGCTCTGTTGCTGCCAGGTTCATCTTCTTTCTCTCCATAAGGTTTTGGCAACCAAAGACGATTTCTATTTTCTTCTCCCACTTCAGGTAGGCGTCGGGGTCATTCTTTCCGTAAAAAGATGGTATTCGAAGCTTCAGCCCGCCAAGGTTGTTGTCGGGTCATCCTTGGGCTGCCTCTGGTTTGTACCGATCTCGACCACGGTTTAGCGCTTGGTACAGGTTATCGGGTTCATATTCCCTCCTGCGGTACTGCTCGTTACGGCCGCTGTATGGCTCGTTTCGTTCACGCCGAATCTCATCCCAATTTTGACCCTGGTCCAGCTCTTGGTTTGGCCCGCGTCTATCATTATGGTTACGCCTGGGTCTAGTTCGGCTCCCTCCGGATGAGTGTCCGTCCTGGTAAAACGGATTATCAGTGACAACTTCTCCCCGTTCCTGCGTTCTTCTCTGGGACCCTGTTCTATTGCTTGATCCAGCGTCGTCAGTCCTTCTAGGCGGAGCTACCTCCAAGCGTTCCATTCTCTCGTTCAAGTGTTCCATTAGTTCGGTGATCTGATTGAGCTTTTGATCCATAAGTGTGCTTTTGACCCGTTGTCTTTCTGCTTCGATCCGAGGAGAATACTTGACACTAGTATTAGTGGTAGTTCCGTCGGATGACATTAAATTGTACCTCACAAAAAATAATAACAAACACATTAGTAAACAACTCTCGGTATTTCTCTCGGTGTTTCTCTCAGTCCTCTTAATATCCTCACACATACTAGAGCCTTTCATCGGTTATAGAAAATCTAAATCAAAAACTCGATTTAAGCCTTCAATCAAACAGATTATCAAGCGATTCAAGGGATAGAAAGAGATCAGATAGACAGAAAAGAATTGCAGATTTTTTTTCTCTTTTTTTTTGAATTTGATTCGTTTCCTTTTTTTGAATCGATCAAATCTCTTCTTTTTTTTTAATGACAAAGAGAGAATAAGAAAAAGCGGAAATTAGAAGACAAAATGGATAGATACTACCGAGATTTCAAGCGTGTGGCTCTGATACCACTTGATATGAACTCTCAAAGATTGTCACACACTTGATCCGGTTGAGGTTGATAAGCCTTGGCTTTAGTTCGATCCGATGAGAAAGATGCTAAGGCGTGAGACAAGTCCCGAATATCCTTAGGCCCAATCGCAAAAAAAAAAAAATAAAAACAAAGGGGTGGAAACATAAGAAAAGAGAGATCGCGGTAACGAATATTGAGGCATGAAAAAGGTTGTTTCCCAAAAATCCCTAAGCCCCGGTTACTACTATGACCAACCCAGATCAATTGAAAATGAAGGCTGCGTCAAACTCGGTGAAAGAAGCTTGAAAAACCGAAATATCTAATGGCTAACCACCAAGAAATCGATACAGTTTTGAAAGAACAAAAGAGAGAAAACTCCAAAAATTTTATTGATAAAAAAAAGATGTCTCTAAAATGACAAGTGCAACGTGTTTATATAGAGGCATAGACAGACCATCGGTCATGCTTAGGAAATGATAAAAACAATAAATAAAGTCAAAGAAACAATAAAAGAATTTGAAAAACGATTCGGCTGCCCTTGACTGACTCTACGCATGCTCGGCCAAATCGGACTCTTGAACTCCCGACCTATGAACCAAACACAGACTGAACCACTGTCGTAAGGGTGGTATAGCCCTTAACCTCGTTAAAACCCCACCCGGTAAACCCATTGGGACAAATCCGAGTGCAAGAAAAAAGAGTATTAAGGAACAATACCCGACCGAGTTAGTAAGTACCTTGGTACGTAAGTACGGTCTTGGGGCAGGCTGTTGGTTCCGTTTCCTGGTTTGAATCTTGGTTCCATAGTTCGGTAAGCAACTTCCGAACAGCCCCCGCTAGCTTCTTGGTATGTGATCAGATTATTGTGCCGTTTGTTGGTACAATGAGGGTTGTATCAGGGATTTCGACTTCGATCCGCCGTTCATATTCCTCATCCCGTAGTTTATCCTCTTCGATCCGTGGTTCGTACTCTCGATCATGTTTTCGGTCCATGATTATCACCAATAAAAATGTATTAATATATAGTTCGAAATTCATAGAAATGTATTTATATATCGTACAATATATAAATACATCTTTAAGTTTGTTTAATTATACATTTCTTTTATACATTTAACATGATATCAATTTTTTTGCCGAAACAATTAGGTCAGGTGTATAGGAGATTTGTTTAGATGTTAAAATTTATTGGCGTTGGCGACACTCTTGAAAACTTTTGGATACTGACTGTTTCAACCCGAAAACCTTCCCGGTCCTTGGTCGATAAAATAATATAAACAAAAGAAAAACACGGAAGGGTGAAACCGAACCTGAACTACGCTCCGAATCTGTGTTCTTAATTTCCCGATTCGAAACCCTAAATTCAAATCCACTCTCATCAACGATGGCAATAGCGCGAACTGGAGTTTACGTTGATGATTACCTTGAGTGTAAGATCGATAAAACCGTCTCTCCATGTTTGATAAAAGCTTTTGTCTAATTCGAAGAATTTGAGGTTCAATTTTCGCATCTGTATAATCGGAAAAAATCGAAATTTTGTAGATGCCAGCACTTTCCCTGCGGAGCTTCAAAGACTGCTAAATACAGTTCGCGAATTAGACGAGAGATCTCAATGTAGAGAAACTTATTCATTGATTACATTGTTTATTATCATTCCCTCGGTTCTTTGTGAATTGATGATTGTGTTGTTGTTTTGTTTTTTTTATAGCACTCATAAACCAGACGAGGCAGCAAACTAAGTATTGCTTAGGGCTTGCCTCACAGAGTTCCAAGAAGGGCAATGGCAATAATCATTACAACAATGGTCTTGATGAAGACGAAACGATTGAGAAAATGCGTAAAGAGATTGAATCCAGCCAGGAAAATGCATTAAGCTTGTGTACTGAGAAGGTCTTATTGGCCCGACAAGCGTATGATCTTGTAAGCTGCATTATATGTCACAAAAACACTATTATATATGTATAATTGGTACCTGATCGTGATCTCTACTGTCTTGAAATGAAAATAGAGTTTCTATTCCCTCTGAATCTTGAAAATGGTAGATATTGTAGCTGAGGTTTGAATACAACTCCGTTGGATGTTTCGGCCAGTTTTAATGGTGGTGAGATAACTATTATGTTTATTCCGGTTGCAGATAGACAGTCATGTAAAACGACTTGATGAGGACCTGAATAATTTTTCTGAAGATTTAAAGCAAGGTATGTGATACCTATTGACTGTCTTCTCAAGGGGATTTCATTAGAACTGTCCTTTCATATTCTAATTGCTATTCTTTATTGTAATATGTGAGTCAATCTGACATGGATTTGGGTATGATTTGGTAGGCGTTAGATTGAGATTAGTTTGTTGGTAACTATAATCTCCTTCTTCTTACCTTGCTGATTAGCTAACTAAGCATATGAGGTAGGGAGTTAGGCCAAGTGTTCTACATCTTGTTGGAGGATACTTGGGGGCAAGAGACAAATCTCTTGCGTGGCATCTTTATATCCATCTTGTTCCAACCAGTGGACATTGATTAGTTTGCTTATATTATTGCCTCTTTCCTTTATTAAAATCTCTTGTAAACTTCTTCTGCAACAACTCCATAAGGGTTAGCCAAAAAAATAAAATGCTTTCCACTTGCATAAATTTCAGTACATATCGATTAGTTCCAGTCTTTAGAGTTAAATGCTCATCGTGCATCTTGTCATATCATATGTTTGGCCTTAGTTTCACTTCTCTCGTGTGAAATGATGCGTTGACGGAAGAAGTTAAATCTGTTCAATATCAGCGTACTATCTATTTCTCTCATGTTTATTCTCTCATGACTCTTGTGTATCAGAGGGAAAAATTCCACCAGACGAGCCCTCTGTTCTTCCCCCACTACCTATAGTTCCTAAACCGGAAAAGCGCAAATCCTTCTATGGCACACCTCAGTCTAAGAAGATTGATTACAGTAATAGAGAGTGGGATCGTGACAGGGATTTTGAGCTCATGCCTCCTCCAGGAAGCAATCGGAAAGACTTCACCCCTATCGATGAGCAGCCAATCGATCCAAACGAACCGACCTACTGTGTCTGCCATCAGGTTCTGAATACATAAATTCTTTTGGTTGCTGATCATGTTGTGGTTTGATTAACACTTGTTGATTTTTGTTTTTTCAGGTGTCCTTTGGAGACATGATTGCCTGTGACAATGAGAAGAACGTGAGTGTTCTGTTGGCATCTTATTTTCTATTTTTCCATGTTTAGTTGTTACGAAACCATGTGATTCGCTTTCCCGTTTGTATAGTGTCAAGGAGGTGAATGGTTTCACTATACATGCGTTGGCCTCACACCAGAGACCAGATTCAAAGGCAAATGGTATTGCCCCACCTGCAGGCTCCTCCCACAGTCGCATTAATATCATTCGTAACTGTGTCACGGTATTTCTTTTGTCGAAACCCCTTAGTTTTATCATCAATCATCAGTAAACTAAGGTCTCCTGGAATTGTCATGTATGTGTAGCTGATATGGAGCTTTGCAGGAACTTATGATTATTGATTTTAGTAGTGGCAAATACATCTTCTTCGACACCTTCTCGGCAAGATTAATCTCATCTTGATGTAGCAAGTGCAAGTAGAAGCAAACTCTAGAAGGAGAATTCTAATACTAAATGCTACTCTTTGTAATCTCCTTTTAGTCTTTTACAATGGATGAGATTTTAGAGTCAAATGGAATTGTAACGTTTGAAGAACTAAAGTAATTACATATATATGTATAAATGTGGATTAAAACCACAATTCAGAAGTATACAATTTTTCTTCATGAGCTTTCTGTGTACATACATGACTCTCATTACATCTGGCAATCTAAATAATGCCAAAACAAAAATTTGCAACTGATTGGCCCTAACTACAACATCTGCTCACATACATAAGGCATACAACATCAAAATGTGTTTACAAGCCCTATGCCTACCTCTTCTGCGAGTTCATCCCATACAGGCAGGAGTGTCAAAACCACCAGTATAATTGCAGTCGCGACAAGTGCCTTTCTCCATGTTCCAACCTCGGTGACATCGTTCAGACACGGTTTCTCAGGTGTTCTCTGTTCAAAAGCATTGTACTCTTTTTTAGAAAACAGATTTTAAGGCTTACTTGCATTGTTGGAAGTTACAGAGATCAGAAATTCTTAGTACCTGGCAGATAAGTACATAGAGTCCCCAAGGAAGTGCCAAGGGGCCGCCAAGCTGAAAATGTGATAGCAAATCCCATACAGGTCAAACTCGTAGTTACAAGAGCACGAATTATACTAACAGCAGATCATGGCTCGGAACAGTTGAACATACCACTCTAAGTCCAAGCATTACATAGGTTGACAATCCAAATGTAACAAGTGCATTTTTCCCAAATGCGCCCTGCACGGGAGGCATATCCATGTCTCAAATCATAGTTTTCTTCCATTGGTGTACACAATAGTACACACTTGAATCAACTGTAGCAAGGTCTAATGATACTTGAAGTATTTTCGTTAATACGGGTCGAGATTGTTTTCGCATTTAGTAACCAAAAATTTCTACTATGCAACATAAAGGCTTCTAGTTTTTGAAAAGCGTTCCATAAATAAGAGAAGTACCTGTACAGCTCTTCCTCCATCCAAACATCCAATAGGAAGCATATTAAAAGCCGTTGTTGTTAAACCACACCTAACAATTATAAGTAAGCAAAACTTTGTCATGATTTCTGATGAATTAATAGGGCATGAGCCAAGGCAATAGACGATACCATCCAGCAATAACAAGCGGGTGGATTGAAACTGTTGCAGCATGCATAGCTCTGCAATCAATAGGAAAATTGTAATTGATGTTGGAGTTAGATTATTTTTCCGTCTATGTTGAACAGTCGCTAGCTGTGGAGAGCTTACGCGTATCCCAGAGTTGCTCTGCTGATGAGTCCAAGAAGTAATGAACCTTGGAATAACATGCTTGGGACCTGCACCAGATCGCTAGCTGCATCCGGACTAGTAGATAGGAACAGACCAACAGCAAACATGGAAACAGAGAGTGCAGCTCCAGCGAATGGACCAGCAAGAGAAATGTCAACTTTGGTACTCCGGTCGGGAAGAATTGACTTAAACTGTACAAATCAAGTAAACGGCAAATATTATGTTAGCTAATACCCGATAGTCTCGCCTTCGAAAAGCTTCAAAATGTTCAGCTCGTTATCAACAGAAAAGTAGATGGATGCATTTAAGTAGAGAAGTTAATGGAAGCATTTTCAAAGAACTTTGAGTTCAGAAGGAGATAAGTCCCCTAAGGCCTGAACTTAAAAGAGTTCTAATAGAAATGATGAGGAACATCACCTGTGTGATTGCACCAAAGCTACCGAGTGTAATGTTTGGAATGAAGTAAGGAATGCTAAGCTTTACTTTCTTTGGAACTGCAGCAAGAAAGTGCCCTAATTCCTGCAAATTAACAAGTCATAAATATAACTCTCTAGACGAAGTACTGAGAGCAAACTAAGAAAACCAAATACCACCAACACATGAAACTTTATCATTCCACCAAGGAAGCATGCCTGCTCGTTATGAATTTGAAAGCAGCAAAACCAAACGTTCATAATAAAGAAACGCATTACTCTAGAAACACACAGGTTTTAACTTACATGAAACAAAAGAATTCCCAAGACACCATACGCCAAAGGCAATGCAGAGTCTACAAACGGATACAGAAGCTCCATATCAGGTGGTTCAACAGCATTTGGATCGGTGAAATACTTTACCACCTCAGGAGGTAAACGGTTAATCTGTTAAATCAAGTAACTTCCATTACTGCACTTTTGTGATTGCACTTAAGATCAATGACATAATGATGTAGTGGTTATGCCAAAAAGAGTACCTGAGAAGCAATTCCTAGCTCCACAGAGGAACCAATAGTCAGAAGAAACAATATTAAAGCAATCACATACTGCCAGAGTGTGGTTGGTCCTGGCTCCGAGACCTCCTTACGAAGCAAACCAAAGCTAACACGGGCGCCGCCACGCGGATCTGGTCCTTCCGAATTAGGCTCCTCAATCATGAACAAATTATATTTATCGCCAGCCAGCTCGGTTAGTTTTCTTTGAAGTTTTGCAAAAACATCCTCCCTCTTACCTCTCAAGTTCCCAAGAAAGAGGATACCCTCGCCGAGGTCCCCAAACGGCTCTTCTTTAGTCACCCAGAATGTCGAATATCCGAAAATGTTGTCCTTTATTAACTTGACATCTGCAGGATCGACTCTCTCAGGTCCAAGAAGCTCCATCAGCTTAAAAGAGTCTATTTGGAAGCTGCTGTATATCGGATCAATAGGTGATTCAGTGGACCGCTGAGAAAAGACACAAACTTTACTCTTAGTAAACAGTGAATCTAACAACCGAAATACATACAACCTACGTAATCAAGACCCTTCACTAAATCCCCAATTTTTAAGTTTCCACTAAACAGATTTTGTTTTTTGCTTTGAACAAGAAAAAAGCTCTCTCACAAAGTAAAAAGTAGAGAATCTATAGCTCATTTGCAGATGATTATTCATGAGAAAGTGTAATTGATTAACCAAGGAATTAATAGTGACAAGAACAAACTGAAACTTAAGGAATAGTAGACTCACTCATACAATTGAAATCAGCACAAAAAGGGAAATTTAATTCAGAGACAAGAGTGTATACCCTTGAAGAAACAAAAGGAGTCTTGTCGGAACCGAACTCGTTACTACTACTACTGTTACTTCTCTTGTCTGCTTCTTCTTCTTCTTCTTCTTCTTCTTCTTCTTCTTCTTCTTCTTCAAGAGATGCCGTTTTTAAAGCTGAATCTCTAGCAACCGACGAATTGGCATCTCCGTCATTTCCATCTCTGTTACCGGTTTGATCATTGCCTAAACAATTTACAGCCCTAAATGTATGATAATCCTTTGTGCAAGAGAAATAGTGTCTGTCTCTCGATGATGTCGTAACCTTGGGCATTGGTGTTTTAATACTCTCCCGGAGATTGCAATGAAACGATCGGAATCTGATGTTAACCGCAGCTGCGAAAGCGACGCTCGTGAGAGTCCCCATCGAGTGGAGATGGAGAAAAGATAAGGGAAATGTGTGAGCGCTCTGTTAAGACGGATAATGATACCAATATGCCAATGTTGGTTTCGGTTTACCATAAATGGCTTCAAAATTCAAATATCGGTATAGTTAATGATTCACCAGAATCCAGATATACCATGGTCACTTGTAACATCGTGTTCCGCGATAAAAACAACAGCAACTCAGAAGCGATAAAAATAACAGTAACTCAGAAGCGATAAAAATACCAGTAACTCGAAAGAGTGAGTTACAATGAGATATGGGTTTTTTTTTTCACCACTCAACTATTACATTACATTTGGCTATTCGAAGGAGGGTTTCGGTAATCCTCTTCGACTAGCTCGGTATGATTGATTTGGGAAAAGATTTACCCTTTTGCTTGAATTCCTTTTACAAGATTATCAGCTCAATTTAGACTTCTAGGGATAAATAATAGTTTGAAGTCTAAATAGCTCTCACGAATGATCCGAAAAGATTCCAATTTCGTCATGAAGGATGTCTAATTCGCCGAAGTCTCGGTCATACTTACTAAGTCCGAGCAATCAGTCAGAAAGTGCACTGATAAAATCTGTCTCTGGATCAAACATGTCATGGCCCAAAGTAGGCAGTCCATTTCGGCATGAAGTGCCGAAAGACTTCTCCGGCAACCTTACATTCCAAACAGTTCGAGACCCCTGCCATCCTCAAAACTCCAACTCAGACCACTAGTCAGCCCTTGATTGATCCAAGAGGCGTCAATTCAGCATACCAGAGGACTCAGATTGATGGTTCGAGATTTCAGATTTAGAGGTATCCTGACATTCCATTGGCGTCATCACTCATAATTTCATCTTCCTCCTCACGACGATTTGCAATTTTCCAACTCTCTGCTTCAAGCGATGCTTGCATAAGAGATTCTCTGAAGAACACATTTTTTCCTTTAAAAACATTGTCGTTTCTCGCTTTCCAGATAAACCATAGAATCCAAGGATATAACTTCTTTTGGGGTTCCTCCATGCCTATTTTTTTTGTTTTCCAAAAAAGGAAGCTCATATTTTGATAAATAGAAGTACTCGGGAAGAGACCCGAAAGGGACGGAAAGTCCGATAATGCCCAGACCTGTAAGGCCGGGGGACGTAACAACAAAAGGTGGTTTATGGATTCTTCTATATCTCCACACCTGGGGCAATTTTTATCGGAGCCCAAACGGCGATAAGTCAGGTTCTGGCACGTAGAAACACACCCTGATAAGGCTTGCCACATAAAATGTTTCATCTTTCTAGGTGCCCGGACTTTCCACACCTGGCTTTGTAGAGCTGTAATACTTGGTTCTCTTAGCCCGCCCGAATTATCTTCTAAATTCATCCTTCGGCTCAGATCATATCCCGATTTAACCAAGTATATACCTGATTTTGTAAAATTCCAGGCGTAGCGATTAAGAGTACGGTGATGACTAGGTCTCAACCCAAGGATAAGATGCACGTCCTCGGGTTGGAAAAATTCATTCAGAAGGGGAACATCCCATTGTTTTTTGTCTTGGCGAATAAAAGAGTAGACTAGAAGTTTTGGGTCACGAACCCCTATATGGGGGGCCGCCCTTGCCGGACGAGCCCAGAGGTCTGGGATCCATGGTTCACTCCAAACTCTAGTATTGAAGCCTGATCTAATAATTTTCCTTAAACCCTTCATAAGAAAAGGTCTCACAGCCATAATGCTTCTCTATCCGTAAGAGGGTGAATAAATATTGCGATCTTCTAGGGGGTCGGATTCTCTGTAGTATCTTCCTCTTAACACACGGGCTAGAAGGGATGAAGGATATTAGATTAGGCGCCATAACTGTTTTGCTAAAAAGGCGATGTTAAAATCATGTAGATCACGAAATTCCAGTCCTCCCATGTCCTGGGGAATGCAGATCTTATCACATGCAATCCATTTCGGAGCTATTTTGTTTAGAGCTCCACCAAAAATTGGCAATAGCCGAGCACATTTTGTTTATGAGTCCTTGTGGGAGTAGGTAACATGACATAACGTAAGTTGGTAAAACTTGTGCTACGGATTTGATTTGAATTTCTTTTCCACCTTTGCAAAGAAGCATAAAAAGCCCATGAGTGAATTTATGGTGAGACATTACTTACCAATTCCCTGCACACTTCTATACTCTCTGAGTTTTCATCTTTGTATATTTAATTTTTGTTCACTTCTAGTATTCAAATTAAGTTTCAATCATATTTTTGTACAAATTTCGTTGTACAAAAATATATCTAAGTATATACTGGGATTTTATAAATTCTTTAAAGTTATATTAAGTATATATAACCTAGGACTTTAAAAAATAAATGGTATTATATAACCTGGGATTTTACAAGATAAATGATATATTTTATAGATTAAATGGTTTTAGAGCCAAATGGTATATAGCTGAATATATATTGTGTAAATCTGTTTTCTTAAAGCATCTTCGAATAAAAGATTTTATGCATAGACTAATATTCGTCTTCTGTTAGAAGCATCCTACCAGCACCTTGTCAAGAGCATCGTCAACATAGGTGTTCCAGACAATAAATCATACAAGTAGTGAGACCATTGGTAAGCCACAGTTCCATCTGTTCTTGATAAGTCTGGGTTAATTTGCTTGTTACCTAGAGTCTAATTACAGTTTAAAGCATGGCATCTTCAGTATGGAAGTGGTTTAAGTCTAAACATGTTTCTTATTCTGCATCTCAAAAATAATTAGTTCAAGAGTATGTAAAAAATTACAGTTTTTAACAAAGAAATATCATATGAGATCAATTACCTCATGTTAATCCTGAAAATATATATCAAATAGGAACTTTTGATTTTAAACCGCATAGTCAATAAAAGAACATGATCAAAGTATACCATTACGGGATTTTTTTGAAGAAATTAAATTACTTTCTTCTATAGTTTTAGAATGTTATAGACAAAAAAATAATTATATTCATTTTGGATTAATACATTTAGCAACTAAACATCTATCTTGAACAAGAATAGATTTCCCTATACTTATTTCATTAAGAAACAAAACTCTATTAAAATTTGAAGATTCCTTACTAGGAGTAGTATAATCAAATCTATGTATTGAAATAGTATATTTCAATTGTGCTCCAAACTTTCAAGTAAGTTTACATGATCCTTCTGCATTTAATTAATACATTAGTACTAAACGTACACCTGCCTGAAATTATTTCAGCAAGAAAGACATGGCTACTTATTGTCGTATCAAATTTACTTAAAGCAACCTACATTTGAATTTAATCCAAGATGTTTATTGCAAGATGATAAAGGCGAAACAACAATACTAGCCATACATAGTAAAGATATTCGTATATCTACCTACACACCAAAGCAACTAAAATGGACATTAATAACTATTCCAGGTCAATGGAAAATAGATATTACCCAAACACCAATAAATTTTTAGCAAAAAACTATTTGTAGTATAACCGAACATAGTGATAAAAAATACACTATAGAATTGGATTATGCAGAGATCCACCCTCATTAAGAACTAGCTCAATTTATCCTAGATACTCTTTCTCTGATTACAGAACTAGTGGAACTAGTACTGAATCAGAAGAAAGTGTAGAACAAATTTAACTAAAAATCAAGAAAAAAAAAATCAAATAATTTTCAAGCACCCATAGCAAAAACTATTCAAAGCTCTAACGTAGAATATAATTTTCCTACTTCTCTAACACCTTCAGATTTTATATCAATAAATATTATTTCTAAAGACTTTGAGATAAGTAAACAATAAGGAATATTATCCGATAAAAATAAAAATTAAAGACAATGTTATTTTAAAACTTTGCTAAAGAAACAACTCTTACCTATCGAGAAATATGGTATCATCATATGAAAATTGTGGAAATTAATATTCTATTTTTCATATAGTTTTAAACATATGCTCTAAGAAATAAAGTAGATTATCCTTATAAAAATGAATCAGTTAAAGTTAGTTCAAAATTATGTAATACTTGGGGAAATGACTAATGGTGAAAACCCTAAAATAGTTCATCTACACCTAAATGATTTAATATTATATATACCCCAACATAAAGTAGTAACGACAACGAAGGTACTTCATACTTCATACCGGTAGAGTATTTACAGGAGGTACTGCCGAACATGTACGAGTAATCATATAGATAATAAATTTGAAAAAGATGAAAATAACTTAATTACATATTAATGATATTATCAACATCCTTCACATCCATTTAACTATATTTCACTATCTCTTTTTAAAAGCTTAACAAAGCTAGATAAATTTTCTGAAAATAACTACTTCAAATTTATCTCAACTAGATTATCTAGAACGACTAGATAAAAATAAAAGTATTCATAATATTGATGAAAACAGTCATATTAAAATTGACAAAGAACTAGAAATTAATCATACAAAAAGATAATTTTAAACATCATAAAAACCCTATTAATCTAGACACTTCACCCCATACCTATTATTCGAAGAACATCATGAGTTCTCTACAGCAAACTTTTACACCAGAGAAGGTATATATGAATAAGACATAGATGGTAGATCAGAAAACAAAATGATAAACCTCTTCCAAGAAATGGGGATTGCTGGTTTGGCCTATATAGTTAAAGGCTTATCAGATAAACAAGCATGTGTCCTCCTCGTTTCAGGGTTTAATGGGGTATTATTACATGATAACACCGTATTTTGACCACTTTTAATGGATCGTTTTGAAATAATTTTTCTATGTTTTTAATTGCTTTTAAGTAATTTTATCACGTTTTTCTAGTATTTGTAGTTCCAAGACTTTTTTCAGAAAACTTAGGGAAAAGCTTAACAAAATGGATAGAATACCAGATTTCAGCTCAGAGTCAAATCGTCAGAAGTTCACCCCCGATTGAAGGCCTTCTCACCGTCTGATCCAGCTCAAATTTGGAGATCTCAAAGATGGAAGTATCAGCTTTCCAGCACACTTTACAGCTTGACAATCCAACGGTTCAATCAAAAGATACGCGAAGAGGAATATGTCCTGTAAACGAGCCGGCAAGC